GTGGTTCAGTTCATCTTGGAGGAGGTGGGGTTCGCAGATTCTTTTTGCACGGTCTGCCAAGGCTTTAATGGCAAGGCTTTCTCGGTGGGTTCCCGCCTGTGGAACTCACTCCCCGGGGAGATTAGATCGGCAACGTCCCTTCTTTCATTTAGGAAAAAGTTGAAAACCTGGATATGGGACCAGGCATTTGGACATTCTGGCAGCTAAAGAAAGACTTGATGACGAGCTGGAACTTGACGAGACGGAATGGATTTACGGAACTCCGAACGCTGAGCTCAGGATTAGCCTACTACTGTGTTTATGGTATTGTTGTGTATTGGTGATTTAATTTTTAATTTGTAATTGTTTAATTGCTTTTATATATGTATGTATATGTGACAAGGCATCGAATTGTGCCTTTCTCTGTAAGCCGCCCTGAGTCCCCCCCTTGGGGGTGAGAAGGGCGGGGTAAAAGTGATGGAAATAAATAAATAATGGTGCTTCTTTTTTGACTTGGGTGATGGTTGGAGTTTTTATGTAGATATCTATCTGTGTGTGGGTTTTCTGTAGACGGTGTGACCCAATTGTTGATCTGGTTTGCGGATGACTAGGACATCTAGAAAAGGCAGTCTTCCTTCATTTTCTTTTTCCATGGTGAACTGGATGTTTGGGTGGATGCTGTTAAGATGGTCCAGGAACCTGTTGAGTTCTTCTTCTCCATGGCTCCAAATGGTGAAGGTGTCATCCACATATCTGAACCATATCGTGGGCTTTTTGATTGCTGTCTCCAGGGCTTGTTTTTCAAAGTGTTCCGTGTAGAAATTGTCTTTCTTTAATGCCACTGTGGCATTTGTCTAGGCTGAACTCCCTACTGATGTCAGTGCTGAAGATTCTGACTGTGTTGGTCAGTGACTGGATTTCAGTTTCTGATTTTCCGTAAAACTTTAGATCAGGGGTCCTCAAACTTTTTAAACAGGAGGCCAGTTCACTGTCACTGAAACCAGTGGAGGGCCGGAATAAAGTTTTAAAAAACCCAACTATAATCAAATTCCTATGCACACTGCACATGTCTTATTTTGAAGTAAAAAAACAAAACAAAAACAGGAACAAATACAATATTTAAAATGAAGAACCATTTTAACTCAATGTTATGGAATCCTGGAGCTGCAGTTTGATCTTTTGGCAGAAAAGATAAAACAGCTTATAAAATTTTAAATTCCAGGGTTCCATAGTATTAGGAGTTGCAGTAGCTCCTGCAATCAAAGAGCATTCTGAATTCCCCAACAATGGAATTCAACCAAACTTGGCATGCAGAACTCCCATGACCAATAGAGTCATTATAGTTTGTGGCAGCCACACAAACAAAATTTCTGGAGGAGAACAACTACTTTCAAAGTAAGGGCCGCACAATTAAACAAGAAATAACACTTTCAAATCAGGAACAGATTTTTGTTCTTCAATTTGGTTACAGAGTGTGATTCCAGGTGGGAAGGTCTGACCAAAGCAGGAGATCAGAAAAGGAGGACTTTATTCTTACTATGTTTATTTATGCACCTATTTTTGTCTCCACAAGGAGAATGTGGGCCCTTCCAGACAGGCCCTATATCCCAGGATCTGATCCCAGGTTTTCTTCTTTAAACTGGATTATATGTGTCTGCACTGCCAGATAACCTTGGATAAACAGAAAACCTAGAATCAGATCCTGGGATATAGGGCCTGTCTGGAAGGGCCCTCAAAGGGCTCTTCCAAACAGCCATATAAATCAGAATATCAAGGCAGATAATCCACAAAAACTACTTTGAACTGCATTATCAGAATCCACCATTCAAGGTGGATTGTATACAGCTGTGTGGAACGGGTCAAAGCAGCTTACATTTCCAAATAATTTCAAATCTACAAATATATTAAACATTACATCAGAATTAAATATCATTGGCATTCTTTAAAGCAGGCATGGGCCAACTTGGGCCCTCTTTGTGTTTTGGACTTCAATTCCCACAATTCCTAACAGCCTACATACAGGCTGTTTTCACAGCAGAAGTCTGGATTTGCCAAAGAGAAGCAGAGGACAAAGGGGGGAAGAAAAGGAACCTCAGGTTTTGAGGAGACGTCTTTCCTCTAGGAGGCTGGCGTTTCTGCCACCCGCCCCTCTCTTCCCTTCCTGTTTAACTCGGGGGCTAAGTTTTGCAGGGGCTCCTTGAGCCCTGCACCCAGGTAGAGTTGGAGGGGAGAGCTAGATGGCGAGGGGAGGCTTTGGGGTTACCTACTGACTGCAAGGAAGAAAGAGTATAAAAAGAAGAGGAGGAGAAAGGGAGAGAAGAAAGAGGGAGAAAGAGAGAAGGGGGAAAGGAAGAGGGAGAAAGAGAAAGAAAAAGAGAGGGGAAAGGGGAGACTGAAATGGGGAGAAAGGGAGAGAGAGTATGAGGCGGAGACAGAGCCAAGACTTATTCCACTTAGAGGGAGGCTTCTTCCTTGGTGGGCCAAACAAATGCCCTTGGCAGGTCGCATTTGGCCAGCAGGCTGTAGTTTGGGGACCCTGCTTTAGATCATCCATGTACAGCAGATGGGAAATTTTTGGTGAATTTCTTGCTGTTTGGTAGCCCAGGTTTGTTTTCTCTTGATCATAATTGCACTGTTGTGCAATTATGAACAACAGTGGTGACAGTGAGTCGCCCTGGAAAGTTCCTTTCTTGATGCTAACAATTCCATAGCTTTCATTGCCCACAAACAACTCAGTTTTCCATTGTTTCGTTTTATTTTCTGTTTATCATTGCCAGGTGATGTCCAGTTCTTGATTTTCTTCACTCTTTCAGTGATCATTTCTGTTGTTATTTCCAACGTTCCCATTTTGTTCTCTGAAATTTTATTTTCAAAATCTTTTATCTACTCAGCTTTTTTGTTGTAACTTCTGTTTCCCACGGATCTTTCCAGAGTGCATTTGTAGCTGTTTTTGCTGGTTTTACATTTTTCACAGCCACCTGCTGATTCAGACTCTGGTAGAACTGCTTCTGATCAGATTGGAAGAGCTGATTTTGTTTATATGACATATTGCTCATTTTTTCTGCCTGTTGCCATGATTTTTTGTGACAAAGAACAAAAATGTATGTATGTAAATCTTAGCAGACTCTCAAGACAGTAATATACAACAGTATTCAACTTTGGGGTTTTGTTGTTATTGTTTTGTTGCAACTGTTGTCCAGTAGCCACAAATGTAGTTGTGGCAGAAGATGGGTTGTTGTAGGTTTTTTGGGCTATATGGCCATGTTCTAGAAGCATCCTCTCCTGATGTTTCGCCTGCATCTATGACAAGCATCCTTGAAGGTTGTGAGGTATGAAAAAAGTTTCAGACCTCACAACGTCAGGAGAGATGCTTCAAGAACATGGCCATATAACCCGAAAAACCTACAACAACCCAGTGATTCCAGCCATGAAAGCCTATGACAATACATGTGGCAGAAGATGTAAATACAGAAAAGAGGGGAGGGGCTTGAATTATGTGATGCACTTGAGGTCCACTTTCATTTCATAGCAAGTTTTTATATAAGAAACTAGCCGTCCCCTGCCACGCGTTGCTGTGGCCCACGTGGGGGTTCTGTGTGGGAGGCTTGGTCCAATTCTATCGTTTGTGGGGTTCAGAATGCTCTGTGATTGTAGGTGAACTATAAATCCCAGCAACTACAACTCCCAAATGTCAAGATTCTATTTCCCCAAACTCCACCAGTGTTCACATTTGGGCATATTGAGTATTCTTGCAGAGTTTGGTCCAGATCCATCATTGTTTGAGTCCACAGTCATCTCTGGATGTAGGTGAACTACAACTCCAAAACCAATGGACACTGCCCACCAAACCCTTCCAGTATTTTCTGTTGGTCATGGAGAACTGTGTGCCAAGTTTGGTTCAATTCCATCGTTGGTGGGGTTCAGAATGCTCTTTGATTGTAGGTGAACTATAAATCCCAGCAACTACAACTCCCAAATGACAAAATCATTTTTTTTTAGTGAAGGACATACATTGGGTTGTTAGGTGTCTTGTGTCCAAATTTGGTGTCAATTCGTCCAGTGGTTTTTGAGTTCTGTTAATCCCACAAACGAACATTACATTTTTATTTATATAGAGTTGCACAAAGTAGGTTCTCAGGGCCCATCTACACTGCCATATAAAATCCAGATTATCTGATTTGATCTGGTTTATATGGCGGTGTAGACTCATATAAGAGTTCAAAGATTATCTGGATTATCTACTTTGATAATTTGTTTATATGGCAGCCTCAGTCTTAATACAAAAATACATAAAACTTGGGTAGGTTTTGGAATTGAGTATCTTGAGATTCTCTCCATGACAATTTTTGATGCTACTGTCTATAGAACATTTCTGATTTTACTGGTACCTTTCATGAGAATGCTGGAGGAAAGAGATCAGGGAGGGGGATGTTTTGCGAAGCTTCAAACCTTGACACCATATCTCTTTCTCCACCAAATATTTTCTCCTTTTTTTCCTTCTTACAGCTGACTGTGAGACTGATGAATACCTTAGTTCCTCCGGGTTTGTGGATTTGCCTGACACACCACAGAGTCTCTCCAGCCCAGCAGCGGGCCCTGAGCACTCTTTTGCATCAGTGAGTGGGGGAATCCTTGGTGAGGGTGATCTCAGAATGTGGAAATGTTTATTTTTTTGGCCTAGAATGCCCAGAATCCTTCAGCCCACATAGCCAAACATGTAAGACAAAACTACAACTTTTCCAAACACAGGGCAGTGGAATTTGAAGAAACTTAGCTCTGATCCTTGGAGAAAAAGAAGGGTTGGAACAATTCCACGCAATTAATCCACCACCCCCCCACCCCCCACCCCGGTAGTGCAGTGGGTTAAAGCACTGAGCTGCTGAGCTTGTTGACCAAAAGGTCGCAGGTTCGATTCCAGGGAGCGGCGTGAGCTTCCGCTGTCAGCCCTAGCTTCTGCCAACCTAGCAGTTCGAAAACATGCAAATGTGAGTAGATCAATAGGTACTGCTCCGGCGGGAAGGTAACGGCGCTCCATGCGGTCATGCTGGTCACATGACCTTGGAGGTGTCTATGGACAACGCTGGCTCTTTGGCTTAGAAATGGAGATGAGTACCACACCCCAGAGTCAGACATGACTGGACTTAATGTCAGGGGACTACCTTTACCAACCTTAATCTTTATTGGGGGCTATAAAGAATAGTTGGAAATTTTCTCAAACGTATCTCATCATATTGAGATTCACTGAACGACATCCTATGGAAAAATAGGCCAACTAAGATAGATTGCTGTTTTGTTTTGCTATTTGTTTGGGGATGTTGAAATTTTGGAGACTTCCTGCAAAATATTTATGAAGGAGTTTTGAACCAAAACAAGTACTGCCTTTGAGCAACCCCTTGCTGTTTTGCACAAATTGTCATGGTTTTGTACAAAGATATTGCTGCTTTTGCACAAAATAACAACGAACTTTATAAGGCATATTATTTCCAAATGCCAAAAAAGTCCAAAAGTATGTAGAATTCCTATCATCTTTCCCAGTGAGGAGAACTCATTTGCTATTTTTATTCTTCTGAACCCAACTTTATATTTTCCATTTGTAGACTATTGCTGTGAGTCTGAACCCAGTCCAACATAGTGACTTCTCTTCCCCTGTGGACAGGTAAGAAAGATGCTAGACATAGCTCACTGTGAAGCCAGGGTGAGGAGGTGAAGAAAGGAAAACTTTCCACAGGTTTCCTATTGCAAGGTTCTCTATTGGACCAGGGTGGGGATGATGACTAGGGGCTCTTGCACACTGCACTATTATAGTGCTATGACTTAACAGCCAAGGGAATATCATCTTGGATTTTCAATTTAGGAAGAAGGACTTTTAAATGTGTGCCGGAGAACTTTATTCTCTCTCCAAACTGCAAATCCTGTTATTCCATAGGTTGCAGTTATGACAGAGTGGAATCATAGTGCTGCATTGTGGCATGAAAGAGTACTATGTCTGATTATGTGAATAAAGTCAAATTTATAAAGGACTAGCTGTACCCGCCACGTGTTGCTGTGGCCAACCTTCCCTCCTTCCTTCTCTTCCTTCCTTCCTTCCCTTTCTTTCTTTCTTTCTTTCTTTCTCTCCCTCCTTCCTTCTCTTCCTCTTCCCTTCTCTCCCCCCTTTTCTTTCCCTTCCTCTTTCTCCCCGTTCTTCCTTCTCTACCTATTCTTGGACTGCAACTCCCAGCAGTCCTCCTGATCTATCTTTCTCTGTTTACCTACCTTTCTATCTATATCCAATCTATCTATCTTATCTATTTGGAAGATTGCTGGGAGTTGCAGTCCAGGATAGGAAATTGGAAATATGCAGGGATTGGGATGCTCTCAAAGAAATCCAAGGAGAAGAAAGCTTGCAGCTTGGAAGCAGTGCATTTGGACCATCCTCCTCTCCTAAAGGGCCTGGGGTAGGGGATGCTGGGAGCTGTAGCTCAGAAGAGTGTGTGGATATGCTATTGTGTGTTTTGTTTGCCAGGGGAAGTCATTTTTGAACATGCACTGTAGCGTCTTTTTGTTGGTTTTTTTGTTTTTGGCTTTTAAGTCCCTTCTGTGTTTTTAGTGTTTTTATGAGTGGTAGTCACTCATTGGCCTGATAGGTATATTGTGTCCAAATTTGGTGTCAATTAGTCCAGTGTTTTTTGAGTTATGTTAATCCCGCAAACAAACATTACATTTTGATTTATATAGATTGTTTGGGGCAAAATGCTTTATGCAAGTGCTTGATGCATCATGCTACTCTTCCAACTCCTGACTCTTTTTTGTCACTCAGAGAATTATGTGCAAGGTTTTTTAAAAATGATAATACAGATTTCTGCCCTGCTTTCATCCTTTCTCAGGTACAACAGTAGACCTGGGCTAGGAAGGGATAGATGAAAGGATGCATATTCACTTCCTTCTTAATCATTACTCCCATTTATTTATTTATTTATTTACTTTATTTCTATACCGCATTTTTCAGCCCAAACAGGCGACTCAATGCGGTTTACAAGGTACAAATTATCATAACAATGTCAGTGCAGTTAAAAACACAACAAATGTATCAACAGGATCAACAACACCGATCCACAACAATTAACAAACAACATCCCTTAACCTCATCCCTTCAAGAAGGAGTTGAAATGACTTTGACTATATTATTATTATATGATCCACAACAATTAACAAACAACATCCTCTTAACCTCATCCCTTCAAGAAGGAGTTGAAATGACTTTGACTATATTATATATTGTGGATTATATATCTCCTGTGTTGTTCTAATAATATAATATAATGTAATAAAATATAATATATTGTATATACATGTAATATTTATAATGTTATAATGTTATGCAATATAATACTAATAATAATATGATATTATAATTATATATTTATATTACATGTAATATGACTAATAATATTACAATATAATGGTATAGTACAATATAGCAATATTTAATACTGATATTGTGCTGTGCTAATAATATAATATGTTGTATGTTTCTAACTATGACTTATGTTCAATTGTGGTTTTATTATTATAATTGCTATGTAGTGGCATCATAACTGTGCCCATTGTAAGCCATCCTGAGTCCCCCTTCAGGGATTGAAAAGTGATGGGAGAGAAATATGGTAAATAAATAAGCATATATTTCTTGTAAGCTGCTCTGAGTCCCCCTCAGGGTGAGAAGGGTGGCATATAAATGTTGTAAATGAATGAATGAATGAATGAATAATCAAATCTAGTTTTTCAATGTATTGTCGAAGGCTTTCATGGCCAGAATCACTGGGTTATGGTAGGTTTTTTGGGCTATATGGCCATAGAGGCATTCTCTCCTGACGTTTTGCCTGCATCTACGGCAAGCATCCTTGGATGGATGGCTGCCATAGGTGCAGGTGAAATGTTAGGAGAGAATGCCTCTAGAACAGTTTTCTCAACCTGGGGGGCAGGACCCCTGGGGGGGAGTCATGAGGGAGTGTCAGAGGGGTCACCAAAGACCATCAGAAAACACAGTAGTGTATTTTCTGTTGGTCATGGGGGTTCTTGTGGGAAGTTTGCCCCAATTCTATCGTTGGTGAGGTTCAGAATGCTCTCTGGTTGTAGGTGAACTATAAATCCCAGAAACTACAGCTCCCAAATGTCAAGGTCTATCTTCCCCCAAAGCTCCACCAGTGTTCACAATTGGGCATACTGAGTATTCTTGCCAAGTTTGGTCCAGATCCATCATTGTTTGAGTCCACAGTGCTCTCTGGATGTAGGTGAAGTACAACTGCCAAACTCAAGTTCAATGCCCACCAGACCCTTCCAGTATTTTCTGTTGGTCATGGAAGTTCTGTTTGCCAAGTTTGGTTTGACTCCATCGTTGGTGAAATTCAGAATGCTCTTTCATTGTAGATGAACTATAAATCCCAGCAACTACAACTCACAAATGATAAAATCAATCCCCTCCCAGCCCCACAAAATTTGGTCCAGTGAATGAAAATTCATCCTGCATGTTGGATATTTACATTACAATTCCTAAGAGTAGCAAAATTACAATTACAAAGTTGCAACGAAAATAATGTTATGGTTGGGGGTCACCACAACATGAGGAACTGGATTAAGGGGTCGTGGCATTAGGAAGGTTGAGAAACACTGCTCTAGAATATGGCCATATAGCCCGAAAAAACCTACAACAACCCAATCTAGATTTTATATGGCAGTATAGAAGGGGCACAACTTAAAGGGTGGAAAGAGACTGAGGTTTGGGAAATTAAGTTGCCATGGCTGTATTGGCTGCAAAGGTTTCACTTCTCGTTTCTGTCCTCTGCAAACAGCTACACATCCGATGTGGCATCTGGCTTGAGCGATGGTTGTGAGGGTCACTCTGCAAGCGAGAGTAAGGCAAAGCCTGTGCCCAAGCGGGGGTCTGGAAGACTTCTCCGTCGCCGTGCCCGATCTCGCCTCCGCATCTCCAGTGTGAGTAATGTCATCTTGCAGCAACTTTATGCACTGTGTAACTAAGGGACTAATAATAATAATAATAATAATAATAATAAACATTATTTATACCTCGCCACCATCTCCCCAAGGGGACTCGGGGCGGCTTAAATGAGTCCATGCCCATCAATACTGTTCTGTCGCGCGCTGGGCCTGTAAAGAATTTCCTTTAGAACAGGACGTGCAACCTTTGCCCAGCGGGAAGCCAGGGGGCCCAAAGAGAAGCTCTTGGGAATTTTCCACCACAAGCAGTCTTTAGAGGGCTTGTGAAATATAATAAAGTATTTTATTGGGGAACAATCAAACAGAAACTTCTCTTGTCTTCAAAAGGTTAAACAAATGCTTCCAGGCTTTTGTGCAACTGGTGGCTACTAACTGTTACTTTACTTTAAAGGAAAATCCCTTTCTAACTTCTCCCAGGCTGACTGTGAACCTAAACCTAACTGATGTGGGCTCCACTACCGGGTTGAACTGCGTCTCAAAGCACCGAGTGGACCTACCAGCAAGGCCTGTAGTCTCTTCAGCTGGAGTTCTTTGATATTCAAAGCTGTTTTTCCCACCGAAATTCCTCAGAGCTTTAGGGCTGTTTCCCTGGGAATCTTTGGATGATCTTAAGACTGTTTCCCCCGGAAAGTCTTAAGGGTTGAAGCTTTTGTACAGGAAAAGCTTGCACACGTCCTGTACATTAGCTTTCCTTGCTGAGACTAACTAAAAATGGCTCCCTTCCCTTCCCAATTGCCCTGAGCAAGGGGCGGAACCAAAACTTAACGATGATGGACAGGTGATTTGCCCTATGACTGCAACCAAAGGAAGCCACCTTTCTGCAGAGTCCCTGGAACCGTGGGCTGCAAGCAAACATTTAATACAAAGCAAACAAAATTGGAGCTCCTGGTACAGTCGTACCAGCACAAATACAGAAAACACAATATAACACAAAAACACAACAGAACACAACAAATTGGAAAAAGTGCTTTTTTGGGGCATTTCCCAGAATCCCCTACTCAACCTCACTGGTTAGGGGGATTCAGGAGCTATCATATAAAAAAGGCAACTTTTCAAAGCCTTGCATTTTTAATTATTATTATTATTATTACTATTATTATTTTGCTCTTCAGACTCCTCAGAAAAATGCTGACTTGTGCAGTGCTTATTTTGTTTTCTTCATTTTCTGTTTATTATACTCTATTTAACAAAGTGTTTAAACACGTTAGCAAGGCAGCCAAACGAACTATTGGTGATAAAAGGAAAAGTCTAGCACTCGTGTTTACTCCTTTTCATTTTTCATCAAATGGCAGGATGTAGGATATTTATAATTGGAACTTGCCAGAGTCAAAGGGGCAAATGCAATATCCATTAGTGTTTTTGAAAAAAATCAGTTTCCAGACCTTGGTTTTTAAAAATAAGTTCTGTTGCTTGGCAACAGAGAGCCATGATACTATCTATGAAAAAGGCACATTATTTGGCTAACTTTGAATGCAGACTGTACTGGTGTAATGGCCCATTATGAAATGAATAATCTCTCCTATCTGCAACCACCATCAAGAATTTACCTATAGCGTGTAACATTCAAATGTTGTCACTTACCCTTCCCTTTAGTCTCTCATGTATAGAAACATTTATTGAAACTTCCTTCCTAGAGGGTCGATCTCAGAAGGTGTTACTGGGAGACACCTGTTCTACCTCACAACCATTGTCTTGTGGGGTTCCTCAGGGTTCAGTCTTGTCTCCTATGTTGTTTAACATCTACATGAAGCCGTTGGGGGAGATCATCCGGAGTTTCGGGGTATGGTGTCATCTGTACGCAGATGATGTCCAACTCTGTCACTCCTTCCCACCTGCTACTAAGGAGGCTGTCGAGGTCCTGAACCGGTGCTTGGCCACTGTAACGGTCTGGATGAGGGCGAACAAATTGAAATTGAATCCAGGCAAGACAGAGGTACTCCTGGTCAGTCGTAAGGCCGAACAGGGTATAGGGTTACAGCCTGTGTTGGACGGGGTTACACTCCCCCTGAAGACGCAGGTTCGCAGCTTGGGTGTGATCCTGGACTCATCGCTGAGCCTGGAACCCCAGGTTTTGGCGGTGACCAGGGGAGCATTCGCACAATTAAAACTTGTGCGCCAGCTGCGCCTGTACCTTGGGAAGTCTGACTTGGCCACGGTAGTCCACGCACTGATTACATCCCGTATAGACTACTGCAATGCTCTCTACGTGGGGTTGCTTATGAAGACTGCTCGGAAGCTACAAATGGTCCAACGATCGGCAGCCAGGCTGTTAACAGGAGCGGCACTCAGGGAGCACACCACTCCTCTGTTGCGCCAGCTCCACTGGCTGCCAATTTGCTACCGGGCACAATTCAAAGTGCTGGCTTTAGCCTTTAAAGCCCTAAACGGTTCTGGCCCGACCTATCTGTCCGAACGCATCACCCCTATGAACCAGTTAGGACATTAAGATCGTCCGGGGAGGCCCTGCTCTCGATCCCGCCAGCCTCACAAGCACGGCTGGCGGGGACGAGAGACAGGGCCTTCTCAGTGGTGGCCCCTCGGCTGTGGAACGCCCTTCCCGCAGATATTAGATCGGCCCCCTCCCTGCTGGCGTTCAGGAGAAGAGTGAAGACCTGGCTCTTTGAACAGGCGTTTAATTAAGCAGTGCAATTAATTGATTGATCTTGGAACTTGGAATAATGGACGAGGAGATCGGATTATGACTTTACTGATGAGACGTGATGGATTAGTTATATGGATGTATTGATGTTATATTGATGTACTGATGTATTGTTATATTGATGTAGTTGCCTTAGTTACTGTTTTAATTGCTAATGTTGTGCACTTTGTATATTGGTTTGGTTGTAAACCGCACTGAGTCGCCTACGGGCTGAGAGAGTGCGGTATACAAATAAAGTAAATAAATAAATAAATAAATAAACTTACTTCCTTTACCTGGAAAATGTTCATAAACATGAACCCAAAATTACTCTAAACGGATTTCTCTCTTGAGTTTCTCTAGCATCAGTTGCCTCTTTTCTCTGGCACATTTAGCACAGAAGCTTATTGGTCTCTTGTGTGGTTGAAAGTTAGCAATCAGTTTTAAGGAGCTGGATTGGGATCATGGCTATTTCACCCTGCGTTTACTAAATCCATCATATGTTAATAATATGAGGAAGATCCCTAAAAAGTATCTAAAATTTAAAACAGTATCGATTCATTTAAAAGCCATGACAACAAAGATGAAAAGACAGCACACAGACCCCAGTAAAAAAATTTCGCACAAGTTGTTTATGATGAGATGTCTGTTTAAATGAAACGGCTTTATCTACCAATAAGTAGAGAGGGCACCAGCTTCAGTGGGAGGAAATTCCATGACTTAGAAGCAGCATTCACCCATATATCGCCTAGGAAAACTCTTCCCACAGACTATAGTGGAAGTTGTGAATATGCGGTTACCATCTACTGGATCTTGGGGGAAAGCAGCAGGCTCAAAAATGTCACTTGGCTGCAAGCCAGGGAACATCAGAGAGTAACCACCCTCCCCCATTTTTTCACAACCTTGGAATGAGGATTAAAATGCTTGTCTGCGCAAAGTCCCAGCCTTATGTAGTGTCCACCTTCTTTTTTTAGGATCGCAGGAATTGGGTTAGGGTAACATTCAATTCTTACAGAAACGTATGGTTTGCTTTAACTTGAGAGATTTGCTAAAGTGGGGCTAGATCTTGAAATTTCTGCTTTTTTAAAGTAGTAGGCCGGTGCATGTTTATGCTATTGAACTCTTTCTTATGAGATTTGCACTGACAGCTTGATAAAGTGTTATGAGGGTGACTTAATGTAAAGGCAAAGGGTTTCAATACCTAAATCTGTAGTTTTTTAAAAGCCTTTAAAGTCTGCATTCATAAACACTATGTAACACATATTCGTAACTCCTCAACAGATGGCAGTACTGGTATGCGGCAGGTACTGGCTTGTTCAGTAGACTCTCCTCTACAGTTCCATTTTGACAGGAAGCCTTAGCATTGAACGGTTGTGTTGTTAATGTATGTAGTATGGAACCCTGCGCAGACGGTCAGTCAATGCAACTTAGTCACCTCTAGACTGGATTACTGCAATGCACTCTACGTGGGGCTGCCCTTGAAAACGGCTCGGAAATTCCAGATGGTCCAACGGGCGGCAGCCAGGTTGTTAACCGGGACTCCTTACAGGGAGCGGTCAACCCTCCTGTTCAAGGAGCTCCACTGGTTGCCATTCATTTTCCGGACCCAATTCAAGGTGTAGGTTCTTACCTACAAAGCCCTAAACCGTTTGGGATCTGCCTAACTACGTGACCCATCTCTGTATACGAACCCACATGATCTCTTCGATCATCTGGAGAGGCCCTGCTCGCGATCCCACCTGCATCGCAGGCACGATTGGTGGGGACGAGAGAGAGGGCCCTTTCGGTGGTGGCCCCTCAACTCTGGAACTCACTCCCTAAGGACATCAGGCAGGCCCCAACTCTGGCAGTCTTTAGGAGGAGTTTGAAGACGTGGTTGTTCCAGTGTGCCTTCCCAGAATAATGTTCCCATAGCACTTTGTCCTCCAAAGCACTTTACATTTTAGGTCTGCTTGTATGTTTTCCACAAACGCCACTTTCACCTTTTCGCCCATGCCCTGGCATTATTTCCAATTTTAACTTTACATTTGGCCTACCCACAGTTTTAATTGTGTGTTGTCTTATTGTTAATTGTTGCATACTTTATTGTCTATGTTTTATTTTAATTGCTTGTATTGTTGTTTTATTGCTTTTATTGTTGTATTTGGGCTCGGCCTCATGTAAGCCGCACCGAGTCCCTTGGGGAGATGGTAAGGTAAAGGTAAAGGTAGTCCCCTGACATTAAGTCCAGTCATGTCTGACTCTGGGTGTGGTGCTCATCTCCATTTCTAAGCCGAAGAGCCAGAGTTGTCCAGTAGACACCTCCAAGGTCATGTGGCGCATGACTGCATGGAGCGCTGTAACCTTCCCGCTGGTACCTATTGATCTACTCACATTTGCATGTTTTCGAACTGCTAGGTTGGCAGAAGCTAGGGCTGACAGCGGAAGCTCACGCCGCTCCCCGGAATCGAACCTGCAACCTTTCGATCAACAAGCTCAGCAGCTCAGTGCTTTAACCCACTGTGCCACAGGGGGCTCCGGGGAGATGGTAGCGGGGTACAAATAAAGTGTTATTATTATTATTGTTATTAAGCAACGTGCAGTCAGTTCTTGTGGGCTTCTTCGGTTCGGTCTTCTTCTGACATGGTGGTTGTGAGAGTGGTCCATGGTAGAAATCCACAACCACCATGTCAGACTACACAGAGAAGCTATTGAAATCCACAAACATGTGGACAATTTCAACAGAAAGGAAGAAACCATGAAAATGAACAAAATCTGGCTACCAGTATTAAAAAATTCTAAAATTGCAACAGCAAAAACAGCAGAGAGAAAAACAGGCAGGGACATCTAATCACCTTTCAAGAAGAGTTTGCTTCAGGCACAGTCAGCCCATTGTATGCTAATCAAGGTGGTCAGTTGAAAGATTCACACCTAGCCCAACTTACAAAAGCCCTTTGTCTCACCCTGGTCATTCCACAGATATATAAACCCTTTTTTCCCAGTTCCAGCAGACCTCACCTCTGAGGATGCTTGCCATAGATGCAGGCGAAACGTCAGGAGAAATGCCTCTAGAACATGGCCATATAGCCCGAAAAAGCCCACAAGAACTGAGTGATTCCAGCCATGAAAGCCTTCGACAACGTGCAGTCATTGAATTCTTGGCAGCAGAAGGTGTCACCTCAACATCTTTAAACTTACTCGCCCAAGGACGCACAGTACTCACATCAACACAATCACCATAAACAGCTTTCATTCTCTGATGAATCTCCTTTGGGGTGACACCAAAATCACAACCCTAATGTCAACTTCTTGCATCCACAGGTGCCAGACCAGAATGATCGGGTGGTGGAGTGTCAACTACAAACATATAATAATAAGATGGTAACCTTCAAATTTGACCTGGATGGAGACAGCCCTGAGGAAATTGCAGCTGTCATGGTGATGATATGTGTTTGTTTTTAACTTTAGACAAAGGCGGTAGTTTATAGCAGAATTTGATCTCCTGAATCCTGTGGCTGACTGTTTCTCCTATTGTATTGCTTCCTTCTCCAGGTTACCAGGGAGTTCATCCTAAAATCTGAACAAGATGGGTTCATCCAGCGAATCCGAGATATTATCCAACGTGTGGAGACTGTCTTGCGCTCCAACAAAGACCAAGGAGCACCAGGGAGCTCTGAGGTGCCATGTCACACCCCTCCATTGACTGCCAATGGGCTCCCAGTAAGTGAAGGGCCATGAAAGTCCTGGAAATAAAGCAAACAGACAACACAGCACCGTTCTGCTATGTACTTCTGTAGTTGCAATGAACCAAAGCAAAGTCCACAGAAATTTCTTAGGCATAAAGAAGTGCTCTTTAGTTGTTTTTCCTAACAGACAGAAGTTGCATTCCTTTCTTCTCCACCCGCCTGGCCAATTGCTATTAGAAGCCTTCAAATGCAATCCATCTTTCCATAGATTTTCAGTGGACTTTCCCGTCACTTGCTGTGTTTCCTCTTACCTTAAATGCACAAATGCTTGGTGATATTTTTTTTAGTATATCTTTCTCTCACTCTCTGGCATAGTATTCGGGTGCATCTACGCTGTAGAATTAATGCAGTTTGACACCATGTTAACTCCCTGACTCAGTGTTATGGGAGTTGTAGTTTGGTGAAGCACCAGCACTCTTTGGCAGAGAAAGTTAAACACTTTGTAAAAACAGAGATCCCATGTTCTATATAAATAAAAATGTAATGTTTGTTTTTGGGATTAACATAACTCAAAAACCACTGGACACAATACACCTAACAACCCAATGTATGTCCTTCACTCAAAAAAATTAATTTTGTCATTTGGGAATTGTAGTTGCTGGGATTTATAGTTCACCTACAATCAAAGAGCATTTTGAACCCCACCAACAATGGAATTGAACCAAACTTGGCACACAGTTCTCCCATGACCAACAGAAAATACTGGAAGTGTTTGGTGGGCAGTGTCCTTTGGTTTTGGAGTTGTAGTTCATCTACATCGAGAGATCACTATGGACTCAAACAATGAGGATCTGGACACCCATCAGGCCAACGAGTGATCATCACTCATAAAAACACTGAAAAACATAGCAGAAGAGAATTTAAAAGCCAAAAAATTTACATTACATCGCATGCACAAAATGACATATAAACACGCAAACACACATATACACATACATACACACACAAAACACATATACACAGACTGGGCCACAGCAACGCATGGCAGGGGACAGCTAGTATATATATAAAAATATACTTAACAAATTGAATATATGTATGATATTTAGTAAACATAATATATTTAATAAACTATATATATATGTTAATATATTTTGTAAATATAATATATTTAATAAACAATATATATCTATATAATTTAAAATGTAATGTTCGTTTGTGGGATTAACATAACTCAAAAACCACTGGATGAATTGCCACCAAATTTGGCTACAAGATACCTACTAACCCAAGGAGTGACCATCACTAAAAAAAATGATTTTGTCATTTGGAGTTGTAGTTGTTGGGATTTATAGTTCATCTACAATCAAAGAGCATTCTAAACTTCACCAATGGTGGAATTGCACCAAACTTGGCACACAGAACTCCCATGACCAGCAGAAAACACTAGAAGGGTTTGGTGGGCATTGACCTTGAGTTTTGGAGTTGTAGTTCACATACATCCAGAGAGCACTGTGGACTCAAACAATGATGGATTTGGGCCAAAATTGGCACAAATGTTCCATATGCCCAAATATGAACACAGATGAAGTTTGGGGGAAATAGACCTTGAAATTTGGGAGTTGTAGTTACTGGGATTTATAGTTTACCTACAATCAAAGAGCATTCTGAACCCCACCAACGATAGAATTGGGGCAAACTTCCCACACAGAACCCCCATGAGCAACAGAAAATACTTAAGGCCATCCATTTCAACTCCCTTCACCAGGGCAAGAAATGTAATCAAAGCCTTCCTGACAAAAGACCATCCAGCCATAGATATAGAGAGTTATATATGATTCACATAGACAGATACAGTATGATAGATTTGAAAGGATCCCCTAAAGAAGGACAATTATATGTGGCATGTTCCAGAGTAGGCAAATCAGACAATCCCCACATCAACACTAACAAAGAAACAACAAGAAATACTGTTTACCCACAAGCATAAAGAAATTACATATCTCAGAAACCAACACTTTCTCATTACTTTATTTTCCAGATCACCAGGCTGGGCCACAGCAACACCTGGCAGGGGACGGCTAGTAATTCTATAGTATCAAACCATGGTAGTTAAGGTGGTATCAAACTGCATTAATTCCTACAGTATAGATGCATCCTATGATTAACAGTCAAGCCTGTCTAAAAACCGACTTCCTTCTTTTGAATTCCAAATACATAGTATTCCTTCTACGAAAAGGCAAAGGTAGTCTGTATATGGTCAGAAGTAATGGTATTAGTAGCAGTGTTTTACATATTCTAGGACTGATTCCTTGCTCAGGATGTATACTGATGGCAGACTGGTGTCTTCCAGAGATCCCTTTTGTGGTTTTGGCCATAAAGATTTTGGGAAAAGGGGAATAATACTGCCTTCATTTCCTTGTCCAATAAAAATATTCCCCCTCTTTATCCTTTTAGGGTGATCTGCCAGTACAAGACCTTTCACATTCCATCTCATCATCTTCATCTCTTAGTGGTATGTAATCCATCACCTACACTATCCCAGATTAACACTCATCCATGAGGTTTTAAACTGTTTTATTTGCTTGCATTTGGTGCATAAAATGGGCGCTGTATTCGTAGAGAGACAGGGTGATAGACTGACCTTTGTACAAGGGGGGGGGGGGTGAACTCCTAGGACAAAAACATTGAGGGGAGCAATGTATGAGAATATGTAACTACTCTGCAAAAGCGCTCTCCCAGATCTGCTTCATTAGCAACAAAGCTAGGTTATGAAATTGGTAAAGTTCCATATTTATGATTATTTATTTTGTTTAGAGATCATTAATAGGAGGTCCTAATTTTATTATTCCACTTTTTTTTTCAGATTTTGGCTGCTCCAGCCCTGGACAATCCATATTATCTCCTTCCCCAGTGCCACTGGTGGATGCCGCCGTGGAGAATGAGCCTCATAACCCCATAGTTCCTCCATCAAGCACGCAAACTTTTGGGCTGCCTATATTTTCAACAGCATCCACAGGTAAAACCAATCTATTTCCAACTCCTCCCTTTCCTAGAATATCGTGCAGGTGTTTCTGTCCAAGACCTTTGAAGTGCTGTGTGCAATTAAAGAAATGAGTTGACATAGTACAAACAGATCATCTCGGCAAAGAATGTGTATGTATATGGCACATCTAGTTGAATCTAGACTTGACTCACATGTAGAGTGGAGCCAGTGAAATCAATATTATTTATTACTAGCTGTCCCCTGCCCCGCGTTGCTGTGGCCCCGTCTGATGATCTGGAAAATAAAGTAATGAGAAAATGCTGGTTTCTAATATATGTAATGTCTTTAGGCTTATGGGTAAACAGTATTTCTTGTTTCTTTGTCAGTGTTGATGTGGAGATTGTCTGGTTTGCCTACTCTGGAACATGCAACATATAATTGTCCTTCTTTAGGGGTCCCTTTCAAATCTATGATACTATATCTGTGTGTGAATCATATATATCTATCTATATCTATGGCTGGATGGATCTTTGTCAGGAGGACTTTGATTACATTTTCTTGCCCTCGTGAAGAAGAGAGTTGGACTGGATGGCCTTAAGTATTTTCTGTTGGTCATGGGGGTTCTGTGTGGGAAGATTGCCCCAATTCTGTCGTTGGCAGGGTCCTGAATCCTCTTTGATTGTAGGTGAGCTATAAATCCCAGTAATTACAACTCTCAAACATCAAGGTCTATTTCCCTCAAACTTCATCTGTGTTCATATTTGGACATATGGAATATTTGTGCCAAGTATAGTCCAGATCCATCATTGTTTGAGTCCACAGTGCTCTCTGGATGTAGGTGAACTGCAACTCCCAAACTCAAGGTCAATGCCCACCAAACCCTTCTAGTGTTTTCTGTTGGTCGTGGGAGTTCTGTGTGCCAAGTTTGGTTCAATTCCATCATTGGTGGAGTTCAGAATGCTCTTTGATTGTAGGTGAACTGTGAATCCCAGTGACTACAACTCCCAAATGTCAAGGTCTATTTCCCTCAAACTCCATCTGTGTTCATATTTGGGTGTATTGAGTGCTTGTGCCAAGTTTGGTCCAGATCTATCATTGTTTGAGTCCACAGTGCTCTCTGGATGTAGGTGAACTACAACTCCCAAACTCAAGGTCAATGCCCACCAAAACCTTCTAGTATTTTCTGTTGGTCATGGGAGTTTTGTGTGCCAAGTTTGGTTCAATTCCATCGTTGATGGAGTTCAGAATGCTCTTTGATTGTAGGTGAACTATAAATCCCAGCAACTACAACTCCCAAATGACAAAATCATATTTTTTGAGTGATGGTCACTCCTTGTGTTGTGAGACATTTGGTTGCCAAATTTGGTGTGATTTCGTTCATTGGTTCTTTTGTTTTTAAGGAACTCATTATGCACAGAGCATTTATATATATATATTTAAGCTCATTAATACTTTTATTGATTTCAATAAGTCTGCTTTTTAGTATAACTTGATTCAGATCCAAATCAGAATCTGACTTTCACATATCAGATATTAAATGATTTTTGAAAAACAACCACTTCTGGGTTTGGAAAAAAAAGTAGTAGAGTATTGTGAGATCTGTTAGCTGTGGTTTACATGGAGTGAATAGTGAAAAGGTAAAGGTTTCCCCTAGACATTAAGTCTAGTCGTGTCCGACTCAGTGGGGTGGTGTTTATCTCCATTTCTATGTTGAAGAGCTGGCGTTGTCCGTAGATGTTTCGTAGGTCATGTGGCCGGCATGACTGCATAGAGCGCTGTTACCTTCTCACCGTAGTCGTACCTATTGATCTACCCACATTTGCATGTTTTCGAACTGCTAGGTTGGCAGAACCTGGGGTTAACAGCGGGAGCTCATCCCCGCTCCCTGAATTCAAACCGCTGACCTTTTGGTCAGCAAGTTCAGCAGCTCAGCAGTTCAGCCCTATGCTGAAGAGCTGGTGTTGTCCATAGACGCTTCCTAGGTCATGTGGCCAGCATGACTGCATGGAGCACTGTTACCTTTTCGCCGTAGTTGTAGCTATTTTTTTTTTTGTCGTGTCAGGAGCAACCGCTCCTGTTGTGAGAGAATTGGCCGTCTGCAAGGACGTTGCCCAGGGGACGCCTGGATGATTTTTGATGTTTTATCATCCTTGTGGGAGGCTTCTCTCATGTCCCTGCATGAGGAGCTGGAGCTAATAGAGGGAGCTCATCCACCTTTCCCTGGATTCGAACCTGCGACCTGTCGGTCTTCAGTCCTGCCGGCACAGTGCTTTAACCCACTGCGCCACCGGGGGCTCCTAGTCGTAGCTATTGATCTACTCACATTTGCATGTTTTCGAACTGCTAGGTTGGCAGAAGCTGGGGTTAACAGCGGGAGCTCATCCCCGCTCCCTGAATTCGAACCGCTGACCTTTTGGTCAGCAAGTTCAGCAGCTCAGCGGTGTAACCCGCTGTGCCACCGGGAGCCACCAGAGTGAATAGTACTTGAATGAAATTATATAATTCTATTGTGTTTTATTCTTTTTAATTCCTCATACCTCTTTTCTTTCTGAAATGGTTTTGATTATTTGACATAGAATCATAGAGTTGGAAGAGACCTCATGGGCCATCCAGTCCAACTCCCTGCCAAGAAGCAGGAATATTGCATTCAAAGCACCCCTGACAGATGGCCATCCAGCTTCTGTTTAAAAGCCTCCAAAGAAGGAGCCTCCACCACACTCTGGGGCAGAGAGTTCCACTGCTGAACAGCTCTCACAGTCAGGAAGTTCTTCCTAATGTTCAGATGGTATCTCCTTAGTATCTTAGTATCTTAAGCAGAATACATACTTTAAAATACATAGAAAATACATACTTTCCGCCCTGAGTTGCCTGAAGGCTGAGAAGGGCGGTATACAAATACAGTAAATAAACAGTAAATAAATAAAATAAATCGATATGGTCAAACATAATGGAAGTTCAATACACTGTCAAAGGCTTTCACGACCAGAATCACTGGGATGTTGTGTGTTTTCCGGACAGTATGGCCATGTTCTAGCAGTATTTTCTCCTGACGTTTTGCCTGCATCTGTGGCTGACATTTTCAGAGGATATTCTGAAATTGCCAGCCACAGATGCAGGCAAAACATCAGGAGGAAATGCTGCTAGAACACAGTCATATAGCCTGAAAGCCATCCAACACCCCATAATGAAAGTTCACAATCTAGTGCATAGGCTTTAGTCCCAATTGGTACAGAACATAGAATTTGGGGGAGCAAGTCAGAAATTTCATTTAACATTAAATGACATTAATACAGTGTTTCTCAACCTTTCTGATGCTGCGACCCCTCATGTTGCGTTGACCCCCAACCATCAAATTATTTTTGTTGCTACTTCATAACTGTCATTTTACTACTGTTATGAATTGTAATGTAAATATCTGATATGCAGGATGTATTTTCATTCACTGGACCAAATTTGGCACAAATACCCAATACTCCCAAATTTGAATACTGGTGCAGTTGGGGAGGATTGATTTCGTCATTTGTGAATTGTAGTTGTAGTTTATAGTTAACCTTCAATCAAATACTATTCTGAACTTCGCCAACAATGGAATTGAACCAAACTTGGCACACAGAACTCCCATGACCAAGAGAAAATACTGGAAAGGTTTGGTGGGCATTAATTGAATTTTGGAGTTGTAGTTCACCTACATCCAGGGAGCACTGTGGACTCAACCAATGATAGATCTGGACCAAACTTGACATGAATACTCAGTATGCCCAAATGTGAACACCAGTGGAGTTTGGGGGAAACAAACCTTGACATTTGGGTGTTGTAGTTGCTGGGATTTATAGTTTACCTACAATCAAAGAGGATTCTGAACCCCACCAATGATAGAATTGGGCCAAACTTGACATGAATACTCAATATGCCCAAATGTGAACACCATGGAGTTTGGGGAAAACAAACCTTGACATTTGGGTGTTGTAGCTGCTGGGATTTATAGTTCACCTGCAATCAAAGAGCATTTTGAATCCTGCCAACTAGAGAATTGGGCCAAATGTCCCATACAGAAACCCCATGACCAACAGAAAATACGGCGTTTTCTGATGGTCTTTGGCGACCCCTCTAACACTCCCTCGCGACCCCCCAGGGGTCCCGACCCCCAGGTTGAGAAATGCTTCATTAATATGAAGAGGGAACTTGCTGGAGAGAGCTTAGAACAAATTAGATCAGGGTTATATGTGTAGGTTTTGAAATCTTGTCAGAAGAAGGATGCAACTGATCTCTTCCTCCTTTCCTTCAAGCTGCCCTGCCACTCACCTGATGTGATCCTGGACTCATCGCTGAGCCTGGAACCCCAGGTTTCGGCGGTGACCAGGGGAGCATTCGCACAGTTAAAACTTGTGCGCCAACTGCGACCGTACCTTGGGAAGTCTGACTTGGCCACGGTAGTCCACGCTCTGGTTACATCCCGTCTTGACTACTGCAACGCTCTCTACGTGGGGTTGCCTTTGAAGACGGCTCGGAAGCTCCAATTAGTCCAATGGGCGGCAGCCATGTTACTAACAGGAGCAGGGCGCAGGGAGCATACAACTCCTCTGCTGTACCAGCTCCATTGGCTGCCGATTTGCTACCGGGCCCAATTCAAAGTGCTGGCGTTGGCCTTTAAAGCCCTAAACGGTTCTGGCCCAACTTACCTATCCAACGTATCTCGGCCTATCAGCCCACCAGGACCCTTAGATCTTCTGGGGAGGCCCTGCTCTCTATCCCGCCTGCTTCACAGGTGCGGCTGGCGGGGACGAGAGACAGGGCCTTTTCTGTGGTGGCCCCTCGGCTGTGGAACGCCCTTCCCATGGAGGTAAGATCAGCCCCCTCGCTGATGGCATTTCGAAAAAGACTGAAGACATGGATGTTCGAACAAGCATTCGGCTAACACGGTGCAACGAATCTGACGATCAAGGACTGGTAATCACAGACGATGAAATTGGACTGCGTTTTTAACTAAGAGATGCATTGGTTCGATATTGGTGGCCCAATATTGTATATTATGTATGTGTTTTTATGCTTTTTTTATGCTTTTTATCTTGAATATTGTTGATTATTGTAATGTTGTAAACCGCGTTGAGTCGCCAATGTAGGCTGAGAAACGGCGGTATACAAGCGCAGTAATAAATAATAAATTTTGTGCTTCTCTTTCCAGGTGTCCCCAGCATGCCTATGCAGAGTTGGCCATCTTACCACATGGTGCCAATGACGCCAACAGCTCCGCCATACCTTCTCCCTGTTTCACAGCCAATCCCCTCACCAAGCCCCTTTCTCCCTCAATTGCCGCTTACCTCGCCCACTGCCCCACCTGCTACTGCAGCTGCCCCTCCTGTCCCCCTCTGGACCACCTCCAATTCCCCGCTCTTCTCCCTTGCCAATGTTTTCTCTCTGGCTGTGATGAGTATGGCCCAGTCCCTTCTTCCGGCAGTGTCCGTAGTGCCTTCCCAGACAGGACCGCTCTACACCTCGCCAGTCCCACAGTCACCGCTGTTCCCTCCTCCTAGCCCAACCACTGCACCGCACTTCATCTACCCTGAGGTGGCATCCCCAACCAAGCCAGCCCAGCTAGCCAATGGGATGTTTGGACCACCGCCACCTCCAGGCTGTCAGCCATCTCCCGTCAACTCAGTTCCATGGAGGCCTGGTGACAGTGTGGTAAGTTGGGACATGGCTGAATGGAGTACATGGGGAGGGACGTGGAGAAAGAACAGGTAGCTTAGACTGCCCATCCTTCAAACATCAATGTTGTATTGGGAAGTATAATTCGAAGTGAAGTGTTGTAAGTGTGTAGCACCAGGATTGTGGCGCAGCTGGCTGAGTGTCAGCTGCATTAAGATCACTCTGACCAAAAAAAAAAAAAGGTCATGAGTTCGAAGCCAACCCAGGTTAGAGAGGTTCCAACCAATTGTGTAGCCTGTTGTCGACCTTTGCAACCCAAAGACAGTTGCATCTGTCAAGTAGGAAAATTAGGTACCACCTTAAAGTGTGGGGAGGCTAAATTAACTAATTTATGAGGCCATAAAAAAGACTCCAGCAAGCACTCCAGCAAAAAGCATGCGGGGAATGCGGAAGTACTTCATCAGTGTCGCAGATGGACGATGAAAGCGACAGCTCCCCTGGCGGCCAGAAAAAGTTAAATAGCCTCTGTGTATGTCTGTATACGTTGTATGTCAAATTGGCATTGAATGTTTGCCATATATGTGTACACCGTAATCCGCCCTGAGTCCCCTGCGGGGTGAGAAGGGCGGAATATAAATACTATAAATAAATAAATAAATAAATAGATAGAGAGAGAGAGAGAGAGAGAGAGAGAGAGAGAGAGAGAGAGATAGATAGCAAGAGAGTCGAGGGTAGGGTTAGCCTAGTAGTTGCTGGGCCACTGGAATAGTGCATTGAACTTATTTTTTATTTACTAGCTGTCCCCTGCCATGTGTTACTGTGGCCCAGTCTGTTGATCTGGAAAATAAAGTAATGAGAAAGTTTCTAATATATGTAATTTCTTTATGCTTGTGGGTATTTTTTGTTTTTTGTTTCCTTTGTTGGTGCTGATGTGGAGATTGTCTGGTTTGCCTACTCTGGAACATGCAGCAAATATTTGTCCTTCTTTAGAGGTCCCTTTCAAATCTATGATACAATATGTGTGTGTGTGAATCATATCTATCTATCTATCTATATCTATGGCTGGATGACTCTTTGTCAGGAGGGCTTTGATTACGTTTTCTTGCCCTGGTGAAGGGAGTTGGACTGGATGGCCTTCAGTATTTTCTGTTGGTCATGGGGGTTCTGTGTGGGAAGTTTGGCCCAATTCTATCATTGGTGGGTTCAGAATGCTCTTTGATTGTAGGTGAACTATAAATCCCAGCAACTACAACTCCCAAATGTCAAGGGCTATTTCCCCCAAACTCCATCAGTGTTCACATTTGGGCATATTGAGTATTTGTGCCAAATTTGATCCAGAACCATCATTGTTTGAGTCCATAGTGCTCTCTGAGTGTCAGTGAACTACAACTCCGAAACACAAAGTCAATGCCCACCAAACCCTTCTAGTGTTTTCTGTTGGTCATTGGAGTCCTGTGTGCCAAGTTTGGTTCAATTCCATCATTGGTGGAATTCAGAATGCTCTTTGATTGTAGGTTAAATATAAATCCCAGCAACTACAACTCCCACATGACAAACTAATTTTTTTTTAGTGACAGTCAGTCCTCAGGTTAGTAGGTGTCTTGTGACCAAATTTGGCGGCAATTCTTCCAGCGGATTTTGAATTATGATGTCACTCAAAACGAACAGAACATTTTTTTATATACTAGCTGTAGCCAGCGTTGCTGTGGCCAAACTTCCCTCCCTCTTTCTCTCCTTCTTTCTTTCTCTTTCTTTCTCTCCTTCCCTCTTTTTTCTCCTTCTTCTTTCTTTCTCTCTACCTGTTTCTTTCTCCTTCTTTGCTCTTTGGTTCCATCCTTTTTCTCTTTTTCCTTCCCTCTCTCTTTCTCTTTTTCGTTCTCTTTCCTTCCTCTTTCCTTTTTTCCTTCTCTTTCTCCTTCTTTCCCTCTTTCTCTCCCTCCTTCTCTTCTTCCTTCCCCCTTCTGTGTATGTGTTTTGTGTGTGCATATACGTATTTCTGTATGTATTTCTGTATATGTGTATATATATATGTGTGTGTGTGTGTGTGTGTGTGTATGTTTGTGTACATATGTGGTTTTGCGCATGTGTTGTAATGTATTTTTTGTTTTTTGGCTTTTTAAGTCTCTTCTGCTGTGTTTTTCAGTGTTTTTATGAGTGATGGTCACTCGTTGGCCTGATAGGTGTATTGTGTCCAAATTTGGTGTCAATTCGTCCAGTGGTTTTTGAGTTATGTTAATCCCACAAACATTACATTTATATATATATATATAGAGAGAGAGAGAGAGAGAGAGAGAGATTTGCGGCATTTCTATGCCGCCTTTCTCAGCCCAAAGGCGACTCAAGGTGGCTTAGATCCATTTCACTTCCCTCCTGACAAAGTAGCTACCAAGTTACTTGTTTAAGGTTACTGAAGTGACTAGGTAGCCTTGAAAATAGGTCTTCTATCTGTAGAGCTGAAATTGCAGTTATCCAGGCTCCCAAGTTATGAATCAGATAGATAGATAGATAGATAGATAGATAGATAGATAGATAGATAGATAGATAGATAGATAGAGAGAGATCTGGAACCTAGAATTTAGTTTTTTATTATTGTTCTGCTCTCTTCAAGGCTGGTGACCAAAACTTTTAATGGATTTCCAGAATATGAAGCCTCCTTTCACGCCCCCTCCTTTGTACCATGTTTTTAACTACTAGTTTGGTAATGAGCTGTGCAGTTATGGCTGTTGAGTGTATTGATATATGTGAAAACAGAACAGTAAATATTTTTGCTCTGCTAGCTATCCGAAAGAATCTGGTGTCCTTTCAAAAAGAAGGAACGTTCCCTTCAAGCCCCACCCCAGCTCCATAGGATGCTTGGCAGCCTCAGTCAAATTCTTGGCTCCCGTTGTTTGCTTGTTTTAGGGCCAGATACATGACTTTGGTATTGGACTATAGCTCCCAGTATCCTTTAGATCTCTGCACGAGGCCAGTGCTAATCGTGAGGCCTGAGCAATTAGCCTTTGATCACACAGCCATTCGCGGCCAAGAGGAATAGCTTCTTGGAGGACAGTGGTTGTACAGAAGATCTGCAACTGTAGAAAAATAGGTTGCAGAGTCATACCTTTATAATATTATAATGTAATACAATATAATACTAATACTAATAATATGATATTATGATTATATATTTTATATTACATGTAATATTACTAATAATATTACAATATAGTGGTATAGTACACTATAGTAAGCTATATAAATAAAAATGTAATGTTCGTTTGTGGGATTAACAGAAATTCAAAAACCACTGGAGAATGACACCAAATTTGGATACAAGACACCTATCAGGCCAACAAGTGACCATCACTCATAAAAACAATGAAAAAAACAGCAGAGGGGACTTAAAAAGCCAAAAAAACCAACATTACAACGCACACGCAGAACCACATATATATACACAAACACACATATATACACACATATATGCATACACACACACAAAACACATACACAGAAGGAAGAGGGAGAGAAGGAAGGAAGGAAAGAAGGGTAGAGAAGGAAGGAAGGAGGGAGAGAAGAAGGGAAAGAAGGAGAGAAAGGAAGGAAGGAAGGAAAGTAGAGAAGGAAGTAGGGAGAGAAAGATGGAGAGAAGAAGGAGGTAAGGAGAGAAGGAAGGGAAAAAAGCATAGAGAAGGAAGGAGAGGAGGGAGAGAATGAAATAAAAAAATGAAAAGGAAGGAAGGAGAGACGGAACGAAAGAGAGAAAGAGGGAGGGAAGGAAAGAGACAAGGAAGGATGGAACCAAAGAGCAAAGGAAGCTACAAAAGAAACAAGTAGAGAAGGAAGAAAGAAGAAGGGAAAGAAAAAGAGGGAAGGAAGGAAAGAGGGAGAGAGAGAAAGAAAGAGACAAATAAAGAAAGAGGGAGGGAAGATTGGTCACAGCAACGTGTGGTGGGTACAGCTAGTCTTATATAAATAAAAATGTAATGTTTGTTTGTGGATTAACATAACTCAAAAACCACTGGACGAATTGACACCAAATTTGGACACAATATGCCTATCAGGCCAACGAGTGACTGTCACTCATAAAAACAGTGAAAAACATAGCAAAGGGGACTTTAAAAGCCAAAAAACAAAAAATACATTACAGCGCATGCGGAAAACCACACACACAGAGAGAGAGAGAGAGCCACTATGAGTCCCCTTTGGGGTGATAAGGGTGGCATATAAATGTTACAAATAAATAAATAATACCTGTGGTTTATCTAGTCTCATATTGCTAGCTCTGAGTTGCAGCAATTATAGGTTTCCAGGACATATTGATTCCTGTCCCTGACCAGTGATCTCCTATCCAAGTATTAATGAGTCCTGGTCTTACCTAGGACAAAATTTGCTGTTTTCAGAGCACACAGTATGTAGGAATTGGGGTTATATATATATATATATATATATATATATCTCATTCCCTCTCTCAGCAGGTGCCTCTTGCCTCTCCCTGGGCTGGATCACAGCTAACCGTTTCAGATTCACCAACTCCCGATAGTCCATCAACTCGGCTTTCACCCATCACTGAAGGTGAGGATTACTCTGGAATATGTGAGACCAATCGTGCTGTAAGCAGCTGCATTGACCGCTGCTTTGCCCCCAGCCTTGGAAATGCATTCTTAGAACAATCAAAGTAGTAATTGATGGGAAACAAGATTCTCATTACCCAGCCAGTTGAAAGCATGAATTTTAAACTCATGTCCTGTGTTTTGGTATCTGTCCTGTGTGATTAATGTGTATTTTATAGAAATTCTTTGAGATGGAAATTCTTCTTCTTCTTCTTCTTCTTCTTCTTCTTCTTCTTCTTATTATTATTATTATTATTATTTTACTGACACAAAAACACAGTATGTCACAGCAAATGAGATCTATATCTCAAAATTATTGTTGTTGTTGTTATTATTATTATTATTTGAAACACAACAAGATGAGTCCACAGCAGACAAGATCACTCTGCTGGCTGTTGTATTGGATCACACGTCAGACACTTCCCAAGTGTCTAGGACTGTGTGATGTATCAGCATATAATGCATGCAGATCCAAGTAAGGTGGCCTTTTGAAGCTGCCAGATGGTAATTTTGTCAGCACCGATTGTGTTTAAGTGCAGGCCAAGGTCTTTAGGCACTGTACCCAGTGTGCCGATCACCACTGGGACCACCTTGACTGGCTTGTGCCAGAGTCTTTGCAGTTTGATCTTTAAATTCTCATATCGTGTCAGCTTTTCCAGTTGTTTCTCTTCAATCCTGGGATTGCAACATCGACAATCCATACTTTGTTTTTTTAACACAGTTGTGAGGTCAGAAGTATTGTGCTCCAGAACTCTGTCAGTCTGAAATCGGAAGTCCCAAAGTAGTTTGATGTGTTCATTTTCTGTAACTTTTTCAGGCTTGTGATCGCACCAGTTCTTTGTCACAGGCGGATGGTGTTTGTTGTTGTTGTTGTTGTTATCTTTATTATTATTATGCTCACTTGTTAGCAACTCCAATCAGATACCACACACTTGGAACAAGGGAGGAGGTGGGCTTTCTAGGCACGGATTTGCCTCTTACAGGCTCATAAGAACAAAACTGAGGCAAGTCTCTTCAACATGCACATTTCAGATATATCAGAAGTGTTGAAGATTTTATTTTTAAATAAATATATGTATCAGGATTCAAACAATGATTGCTCTGATACCTCCATAAATACTGTTGTGGAACAGCATCATACCTCATCCCACGATATTCCCAAAATAAAACTCCCTATTGGCTTTTCTTTGACCACAGAGCCCAAGCCACAAATTCTGGGCCGCTTCCAGGTGACGCCAACAAAGGATGTGCCTCCTGAAGAACCCCCAAAGGTCAATGGGCCCAGCACCCCAAGCACTTCAGACTCCGACAGCGGGTCTCCTGGCGGAACCCCAGTGCAGGAAGCAGAGGAGGGCACCACCCCTGTGGCAGAAGAAGGAGATGTGGAGACTGCATCAAACACCTCCTGTGTCTGGATTAATTATCTGAATAGTCCATCCTACGCAAGCAGTGATGATTCAGACAGTGCTGATGATGACGTTTGGGATGAGCTGCAGCTCTTGCGGCAAAAGTGAGCATTGCTGTGTTTCTATGAGTAAACTGTTTTTCTCCCCAGACCTTTCTCCTCGACTTGACATCTCCTTTCCCTTCCCGCCACTCAGGCATCTCTCTGAGGTAGAAGCACTTCAGACCCGGCAGAAGCAGGAGATAGAGGAGCTGTATGCCCGTCTGGGCAGGGTACCTCCTGCTGGGATTGTGTCACCAGCTACCATGCTCTCCAGCCGCCAGCGCCGCCTCTCCAAGGGGAGTTTCAACCCTTTGCGGCGAAGCAGTCTGCAACGTATGGATGGTGTTCAACCCCAAGGTAAACTGCAGTTTCCTCACATCTGCCATATCTCCATGAAGTGAAGTGTGCTGTCGCACGCTGGGCCTGAAATAATGTCTGTTTACAGGAAGTGCTCTCTGTTTGTCCAACAGGACGCCGGGGTGCCTCAGCTGAAGGGCCCTTTAGATTTCCCAACACAAAGTTCTATTGAGGCTCAAGATACATTCAACAAAGTTCTTTATTTGGGCTTAAATCTTCAAACAAATGAATTAAACACTTTATAACCGTGGAAAACTGGTAGCTTCCTCTATCTGCTATCAAGGGGCAGGCAACTGGTGGTAAACAGTTCCTTTCTTCCTTAGGGAAATCCTTTGACCCCTCCCTTGTCAATCTCTCTTTACCTTGCTGGTGTGAGGCCCCTACTCCTGGCTCTAAGCTGCTTTATGGATAGCCCAAGTTGTCCCTTACCAGGCAAGGTTCCTGTAGATCTGCCAAGCTGAAAGGTGTCCTTTAGTTTCTCCACAAAGGCTGTAGGAACTATTTCTTTACTTCCCAGCAAAAGCTGTGGATCTATTTCTTTACTCCCCAGCAAAAGCCGTGGAACCTTTCCTTTTTCCCCCAGCAGAGCTGTGAGATGTGAAGCTTTTGTGCAGGTGGGAAAGAGAATCTCACACGTCCTTCTGTTAGGCTTCCAACAGTGAGACTGAACAAAGTCCTCCTTTCCCTCCAAAACCCTGGGAAAAGGGGCAGGTCTAAAGATTCTAACGATGATTGCCAAGTTGATGGCCCTATGATCAGAGGCGGCCCTAGGTAATTTTCAATGGTAAGCAAACAGTATTTTGCCCCCCCCCCCCCAACCAATCACTTGATATATATTTTCTGTTCATCGTGGGAGTTCTGTGTACCATATTTGGTTCAATTCCATCATTGGTGGAGTTCAGAATGCTCTTTGATTGTAGGTGAACTATACATCCCAGTAACTACACTTGCCGCACTTACTCCCTTGCTGGCCCGCTTTGGGTCCAGAGGTGTGCCTGAAGACCCCGGCGTGTGCACCAAAAGTCACCTCTTCTCCTGACTTTCTCCTCAGCCATTGGGACCAAGAGAGAGAAAGAGAGAGAGAGAGACAGAGGTGGAGATGCCCACCTTTCCTGAAGGTAGGCGCAAAAACAAAGGAGGGAGCGGAAGTGGGAGATACCTCCAGCCGGAGGGTCTCTCTCTCTCTCTCTTGGTCCCAATGGCTGAAGAGAAAGTCAGGAGAAGAGGTGACTTTTGGTGCGCACGCTGGGGTCTTCAGACACGCCTCCGGACCCGAAGCGGGCCAGGTGCGGCGGCTCCACCCCTTGGCCCACCCACGGATTGGGGAGAGGAGAGGAGGCGGGTGGAGCGCCGGGGGATCGGGAAAGGGAGCCGGTCATGGGGAAGGGATCGAACGCGGAGAACGATTGAGCGCCGGCTCTGCTGCGCACCCAGTGGCCGGGTGGAGCAGGAACGAGAGGGGCTAGGCGAGGCTCAAGGGCCCGGCCCCTTTGGGAAGAGGATCGCCCGGCAGCGAGGCAAGAAAGCCGAGGCTCCCCCGGACTGCTAGGGCTGTTGTGAGCTGAGGGGGCACTCCTCAAGTGGCGGTCGAGGGGCATTTACAGAGGCGCCTCTGCACCCCTGGCAAAAAAAGGTGTTCTGCGACCGCTTACTTCGCATAATGGACGAGCCGCCCCTGCCTATGATTGCAACCTGAGGGAAGCTACCTTATTGCAAAATGCATGGCTTAAATAGATTCATGCAAACTAGCAGTGCAAGAAAAGGAATTCAAATCTCTAGGCACTGCCATGCTAGCACATTAAGCTAACTAGGAAACGCAGTAGCTCAATAGCTGCTGTGTATCACAAAAAACATAGAACTCTAATTTGACACTTTGGTCTGAATAAGTCTATTAAAGTTGTAACAGTTTGGAGAAAAGCTACTTAATTAACCTTCCTGCTGTGTAGAACTCCAGAAATCCACCCTGCTTAGGTCAAAGAATATGTAATTTATTTAAAAAAAAACACAATTTCCTTTTTCTCCCCGCTCCAGCAGTTTTTTCTGAGAGGTGTTTGGCATTGTTAGTATTGTGTGCACATCTTTTGGTTCTGCTTCTGTTAACAAGCAGGTGTGTATTTAATGCATGACCGAAGAAAACTCATTTCTCAGAAGAATAAAGCTGTAGCTGGGTCAGCATCTGTTGTCTCACAAATTCCTCTTAATATAAAAGCTTTAAGAAGACCAAAATTATTTACTAAGACAAATTTGAAAGAAAGAAGAACTTTGCAAACCATATATCCTTTCTTACACCATTACATCTATTTTATATTTGGAAGTACCAGTCTTTTATTAAATCCTTGTCCCTCCATACATATTTGACAATATCTGATTTTGTTTGAATTTTCTGGTTTTCCTGTTTATTTATTTACTGTATTTGTATATTTATTATTTATTTATTTACTTTATTTGTATACCGCTGTTCTCAGCCTGTAGGCGACTCACAGCAGTTAACAACTAGAACAAGAACAGCAAAAATTCAATGCGGGAAAATACGGTATAAAAAACAATTAACAACACATTATACAATTAATAACAACTAACTACAATAACCATCACTAGCGTCTCATTACTAAAAACATGATCCAGATTCGTCATCCATTGTTCCATTCCTATGATCATTACACTTATCGCACTAACTATGCGAACGCCTGTTCAAACAGCCAGGTCTTCACTTTTTTGCGGAATACCATTAAAGATGGTGCCAGTCTAATATCCGTGGGAAGGGCATTCCACAGCCGAGGGGCCACCACCGAGAAGGCCCTATCTCTCGTCCCCGCCAGCCGTACTTGTGAAGCAGGCGGGATCGAGAGCAGGGCCTCCCCGGAAGATCTCAAAGTCCTGGTGGGTTCATAGGCCAAGATACGGTCGGAAAGGTAGCTTGGGCCGGAACCGTTTAGGGCTTTATAGGCCAACGCCAGCACTTTGAATTGAGCCCGGTAGCAGATCGGTAGCCAATGGAGCTGGCGCAACAGGGGGGTTGTGTGCTCCCTGCGCTCCGCTCCTGTTAGAATCATGGCTGCCGAACGTTGGACTAGTTGAAGCTTCCGAGCCGTCTTCAAAGGCAACCCCACGTTTTGGCGATTCAAGGCGGTTTACAGGCAACAAGTAATATACATAATATCAAAATGCACATAAAAACATTAAATACAATATAAAACCACAACAGAAATAATAAGCAATAGCCAGGAGACAGGTGTTTTTAAAGTCTCTTCCTCAGTCCCCTTTTTCCTCTTAGATGGCTTGAGGGCGGGGGGTGGGGGAGGGAGAGAGATGTGGACAGTTTTTGTTGTTCTATAGAGTCGCGTGAACCAGTTTTCAATTATTCCAAAAGAAAGTTAGCCTGAAAAGCCTTTATATGAATTTATATAAATAAAAATATAATGTTCGTTTGTGGGATTAACAGAACTCAAAAACCACTGGACAAATTGACACCAAAATTGGACACAAGACACCTAACAACCCAATGTATGTCCTTCACTCAAAAAAATTGATTTTGTCATTTGGGAGTTGTAGTTGCTGGGATTTATAGTTCACCTACAATCAAGAGCATTCTGAACCCCACCAACGATGGAATTGAACCAAACTTGGCACACAGTTCTCCCATGACCAACAGAAAATACTGGAAGGGTTTGGTGGGCAGTGTCCTTTGGTTTTGGAGTTGTAGTTCACCTACATCCAGAGATCACTGTGGACTCAAATAATGATGGATCTGGACCAAACTCTACACGAATACTCAATATGCCCAAATGTGAACACTGGAGGAGTTTGGGGGAAATAGAATCTTGACATTTATGAGTTGTAGTTGCTGGGATTTATAGTTCACCTACAATCACAGAGCATTCTGAACCCCACCAACGATAGAATTGGGCCAAACCTCCCCCATGACCACCAGAGTGGGCCACAGCAACGCATGGCAGGGGACAGCTAGTTTATTATATAAATTCATATAGAGGCTCCTTTTTTTGAGGCTTTTAAACAGGCTTTTGAGGCTTTTAAACAGAGGCTGCATGGTCATCTGTCAGGGGTGCTTTGAATGTGATTTTCCTGCTTCTTGGCAGGGGGTTGGACTGGATGGCCTAAGAGGTCTCTTCCAACTCTATGATTCTATGAACTCGAATATACCCCTCACTGCTTTTTCTACCCTCACAGCATTGGCTTTGGATCCAAAAAGAAGAAGATCCAAAAAGCGCTACAAGAAATGCTTGGAATAGATATACCTAGAAAACCAGAAACTTTCCTACTCGGAATACATAACCTAAAAATTGACAAAAACAAAATACTATTCTTATTAACAACGGCAGCCAGAATCTCATACGCAAAACATTGAAAAAAAAAGAAGATCCCCAGAAGCAGAGGAATGGCTGACAAAAAATTTAGACATAAGAAATATGGATAAATTGACATATCTATTATCTAAAAAGATGGGCACGCCAAAGGTAGAGACAGATTGGAAACAAATAACAACATCTATATAAATAAAAATGTAATGTTCGTTTGTGGGATTAACAGAAGTCAAAAACCACTGGACAAATTGACGCCAAATTTGGACACAAAACACCTAACAACCCAATGTATGTCCTTAACTAAAAAAAAATGATTTTGTCATTTGGGAGTTGTAGTTTCTGGGATTTAGAGTTCACCTACAATCAAAGAACATTCTGAACCCCACCAACGATGGAATTGAACCAAACTTGGTACACCGTTCTCCCATGACCAACAGAAAACAGTGGAAGGGTTTGGTGGGCAGTGTCCTTTGGTTTTGGAGTTGTAGTTCACCGACATCCAGAGATCACTGTGGACTCAAACAATGATGGATCTGGACCACACTCTACAAGAATACTCAATATGCCCAAATGTGAACACTGGTGGAGTTTGGGGAAAATAGAACCTTGAAATTTGAGAGTTGTAGTTGCTGGGATTTGTAGTTCACCTACAATCACAGAGCATTCTGAACCCCACCAATGATGGAATTGGGCCAAACCTCCCACACAGAACCCCCATGACCACCAGAGTGGGCCACAGCAATGCATGACAGGGGACGGCTAGTTTATTATATAAATTCATATAGAGGCTCCTTCTTTTGAGGTTTTTAAACAGGCTTTTGAGGCTTTTAAAGAAGAGGAATGGCTGACAAAAAAAATAGACATAAGAAATACGGATAAATTGACATACCTATTATCTAAAAAGAAGGGCACACCAAAGGTAAAGACAGATTGGAAACAAGTAACAACATACTTAATAAAAGGGGAAAAAAACATGAAAATATTTAAACAGCATTGCCTTTGGATCAAGCTTTTACCTCTGTTGTGACTGGAGTACAATTGAAACAATCTCCTATTCTTCCACTGTTTACCCCACCTCCACTTTCCTCTTCTTCGATTATTTCACATGACCTTTTTCTATATTTAGAGCTGGAGTCTGCCAGCCCTGTTCTCTGTAATGTAACATAGACTATAAACATAAAATGGGTAAAGTGGAAGATAGAAGAACCACTGTTAATAAATGAGATGTAGAATACTGTGCTATATATTTGCTCTGTAATTATAACTGTATTATGGAATAGTCCCACACTCAGATGATTTTTGTCCCTGCAGGGATCATGAGAAGGAATTCAGTGAGCGGTGGTAGCAGCAGCACCTCGCAAGAGCAGCGGCAAACCAAGGGTGTGAAGTTCGCCAGTGATGTTGGATGCATGGTGAGACATAGCCTAGTAGTGGGATGCAGAGTGCCTATATGCCCCAATCCAGAGTCTTAATTTGCTTGTGTTGGGCAGACAAAGCCAAAATGAGTCCTCCTGGCCTGGCTATTCTTAGCAAAAAAGGTTACATTATGTACGCCCTCAGTAGATGGCTGGAACACCTCTTTATATTTTATTCCCAAACTTGGTTGTCCACATGCGGATGATCAAAACCAGAAACCCAGGAAACGATTCCTGAAGAATGTAGATCTGGTCAGGATGACACATTAGATCATGTTTGAATTATTTCAACTGACTCTACACAGAGCTGCTTTTGAAGAGGACTCAGAAACTCCAATTGGTCCAGAATGCATCAGTGTCACTTTTTAAAAAGTTCTGCTTACAGGAGGCATGTATGTGATGTTCTCCGATGGAAAAGTTGCACTGGTTTCCAGTTTGTTTCAGGGCACAACTTAAGGAATTAGTGCTGATCTTCAAAGTTCTAAAATATTTACGAACAGGACTATTTTCTCTATGAAGTTTTCTGCCTCCTGAGATTACCTTTGGAGGGCTTCTTGTCTAACTCCAAAATTACAGAGGCATATTTAATGGAGAGGAGGGAAAGAGCCTTGTTGGTGGTTGCACCTGGGCTATGGCACTCCTATCTAGGTGGGAGACCTGTCTCACTTACTAAGAGTTTTCTGGAATATATGGCCATGTTCTAGAGGCATTCTCTCCTGACGTTTCGCCTGCATCTATGGCAAGCATCCTCAGAGGTAGTGAGGTCTGTTGGAACTAGGAAAAAGGGTTTATATATCTGTGGAATGACCCGGGTGAGACAAAGGACTCTTGTCTGCTGGAGCTAGGTGTGAATGTTTCAACTGACCACCTTGATTAGCATTTGATAGCTACCTCTGAGGATGCTTGCCATAGATGCAGGCGAAACGTCAGGAGAGAATGCCTCTAGACCAGTGATGGGCAACCTTTTGAGCTTGGTGTGTCAAAATTTGCCAAAAACCTGACCATAACTTGGGTGGGGTGTCAACTTCGAGAAAAAATTAACGTAATTTTGCAATATTTATAGTCTAAATAAGAAAAATGTATATTCCATGCTGAGTTATGGAGTGAACAATGCTCAAACATGCAGATGTTAAATTCGTAGAGCCTTTTACAAATTTAAGAATGGAATTAGATTGCTCTTATAAGGTGTACTTCTCTGTATGTGGCCGCGTGTCATCAAAAATAGCCATGTTTGTTAGTGCTGCCACGTGTGTCATAGGTTCAACATCACGGCTCTACACCATGGCCATATAGCCCAAAAAAAACCAACCTACAACAACCCAGTGATTCCGGCCATGAAAGCATTCAACAATACAGTTTTCTGGAAGTTGGTGAAGACTTTTTTCAGGAAAGCTTTCAGTGGAATAATTTTTGCTTGCAGTGGTTTTTAATTCAGTTATTGCTGTGGATTGCTTCTTTCTGTACAGTCAGCTATACACATTTGTGGGTTTGACTTTTGCGGATTTGATTTAAATATTCTGTGTAGGAACTCTATGTTAAACTTCCTCTGCTAGAGGACCTAGAGCAGTGAGTGTTTCTTAACCTTCCTAATGCCACGACCCCTTAATACAGTTCCTCATGTTGTGGTGACCCCAACCTTAAAATTATTTTCGTTGCTACTTCAAAACTGTAATTTTGCTACTGTTATGGCTCCTTGTGTAAATATCTGATATGCAGAATGTATTTTCATTTACTGGACCAAATGTGGCACAAATACCTAGTGAGGTTGCAGGGGGGGGGGGTATTGATTTTGTCATTTGGGAGTTGTAGTTGCTGGGATTTATAGTTTGCCTACAATCAAAGAGCATTCTGAACTCCACCAATGATGAAAATGAACTAAACTTGACACACAGAACCCCCATGACCAAGAGAAAATACGAGAAAGGTTTGGTGGGCATTGACCTTGAGTTTTGGAGTTGTGGTTCACCTAAAACCAGAGGTGGACTCAAACAGTGATGGATCTGGACCAAACTTGGCACAGATCCTCAATATTTCCAAATGTGAACACTGGTGGAATTTGGGAGAAATAGAGCTTGACATTTGGGAGTTGTAGTTGCTGGGATTTATAGTCCATCTACAATCAAAGAGGATTCTGAACCCCACCAACGATAGAATTGAGCCAAACTTTCTACACAGAAACCCCCATGACCAACAGAAAATACTGTGTTTTCTGAAGGTCTTTGGTGACCCCTTTGACACCCCTTTGCTACCCCTCCAGGGGTCCCAACCCCCAGGTTGAGAATCGCTGACCTAGAGATTCATTGAAATAATACCTCTCAAGGTACACTAGTGCAATTCTTTGGCCAGCTTGCAGCAGACATTGACTTTAGACTTGTGCTGGAGGCCTAGAAATGTAGAAAAATTGCCTCTTAAGTTTTTTTTTTAAAGCATTTTTATTATTCATGGTTTTTCACTTTCATGGGAGACCTATGCCCCTATGTCAAATGAATGTGGAGGGATGCTATAGCTGTTTATGCTAGTCTGTTTTTAATATTAATAGCTTTATACACATTATGGAAGGTCAGGTGGGGACATCTGACGGGCATTTGGGAAAGAATGGGTATCACTTGCCAAGTGCTTTTTAGCTACAAGGAAACAGTCAGCTGCACCTGTGTGTTGACCCCAAACCACACCCAGCAATAGATCTAAGGCTGGTGAATACAGTACAAGTGTCCTCACCTGTATTATATACTGTTACGCATATGCACCTGCCTAAGCATTTTATATAACACCATAAAATGCAGTGATTTGGAACATGCTTTCAAAGCAGGAAAGAAGGTGAAGGACATACTCATGGGTCAACAGGAGGTGATTTTATCTGAGAAAGCACTAGAACAAAAATGATTTTAAAACTCCGACGTCACTCAGTTCTTTGAGGTGGGACAAATTAACACTCTGACAAAGCACTTCCCACATCAAGGAGTCTATTGTGACAAAGGACTTTCCCACTGATCAGAAGAAAGTGGTTCTCAGATGTAGATGCATCAGCACGGTATGAGAGATTAGCAACAGATGCTTGCATATAGTAAGAGGTAAATGAGGTCCTGAGAATGCATTTACACTCCTGTGTTTCAGAAGCCAAAACTTAGTAGCCATGTCCATATTATAATGTTTAAACTATGAAAATAGAATATGCACATGAACTATACTTGCTCATTGGCTGGTACACCCAACCCAACACCTTGTACAAAGTACTTCATACATTCAACAGCATCCATGTTTTAAAATATGGATGCCATTGAATATATGAAATCCTTTGTTCATCTAAGCCAAAAACTTATTTGGAAACTTATGAATCCAGGAAGTGGTGGTCAGGAAGTTATAATCCCTTACCAATAGCTTTTCCAAATACATATAAAACATAGCTGTCTTGCAGTTCAGTCTAAAATAGTTCGGAACCCCAGTATCTATCTATTTATTTGTTTGTTTGCGACATTTATATGCCACCCTTCTCACCCCAAAGAAGACTCAGCGACTTACAAGATATATATACATACAGTATATTAAATTATTAGCATAGTACAATATCAGTATTATATATTGCTATATTGTACTACACCATTATATTGTAACATTATTAGTAATATTCATGTTATATAAAATATATAATTATAATATTGTATTATTATTACTAGTAGTATTATATTGTATTACAATATATTATATTATTAGTAAAGCACAGGAGACAAGATGGAACTGTCTTCAACTCTCTCTTCACTCTGGCCAGAGCGGCAGTTGCTGCCGAAGGGGGGGGGGGGCTCCCAACTGATGATATAGGCAGGAGACAAGATGGAACTGTCTTCTGCCCCCCTCTGTCTTCACTCTGGCCAGAGCAGCAGCTGGTGCCGGGGGGGGGGAGGCCTCCCAACTGATGATATAGGCAGGAGACAAGATGGAACTGTCTTCTGCCCCCCTCTCTCTTCACTCTGGCCAGAGCAGCAGTTGGTGCTCAAAACGATCCCTCCCAATTGATATAAGCAGGTGACAAGATGGAACTGTCTTCTGCCCCCCTCTCTCTTCACTCTGGCCAGAGTAGCAGTTGGTGCCGGGGGGGGGGGGTCCCAACTGATGATATAGGCAGGAGACAAGATGGAACTGTCTTCTGTCCCCCCTCTCTCTTCACTCTGGCCAAAGCAGCAGTTGGTGGGGGAGGGGGAGGCCTCCCAATTGATATAGGCAGGTGACAAGATGGAACTGTCTTCTGCCCCCCTCTCTCTTCACTCTGGCCAGAGTAGCAGTTGGTGCCGTGGGGGGGGGGGGAGGCCTCCCAACTGATGATATAGGCAGGAGACAAGATGGAACTGTCTTCTGCCCCCCTCTCTCTTCACTCTGGCCAGAGTAGCAGTTGGTGCCGTGGGGGGGGGGGGTCCCAACTGATGATATAGGCAGGAGACAAGATGGAACTGTCTTCTGTCCCCCCTCTCTCTTCACTCTGGCCAAAGCAGCAGTTGGTGGGGGAGGGGGAGGCCTCCCAATTGATATAGGCAGGTGACAAGATTGAACTGTCTTCTGTCCCCTCTCTCTTCACTCTGGCCAGAGCTGCAGTTGGTGCCGAGGGGGGGGGGGGCTCCCAACTGATGATATAGGCAGGAGACAAGATGGAACTGTCTTCTGCCCCCCCCCCCTTCGGAATAAAGCAGGGATAGCAGTTGGTGCCGTGGGTGGGGGGGGAGGCCTCCGAATTGATATAGGCAGGAGACAAGATGGAACTGTCTTCTGCCCCCTCTCTCTTCACTCTGGCCAGAGTAGCAGTTGGTGCCAGGGGGGGGAGGCCTCCCAACTGATGATATAGGCAGGAGACAAGATGGAACTGTCTTCTGCCCCCCTCTCTCTTCACTCTGGCCAGAGCAGCAGTTGTTGCCGGGGGGGGGGGGGGGGCTCCCAACTGATGATATAGGCAGGAGACAAGATGGAACTGTCTTCTGCCCCCCTCTCTCTTCACTCTGGCCAAAGCAGCAGTTGGTGGGGGAGGGGGAGGCCTCCCAATTGATATAGGCAGGTGACAAGATGGACTTCTTCTGCCCCCCCCCCCCTCACTCTGGCCAGAGTAGCAGTTGGTGCCGAGGGTTATTTAAATTAAAATACTACATTGTACTTTCTTTATCCAGCAAAATCGGAGACTTATTTCTCTTTTTTGTATGTATTTTCTTTTGTTTCTGCAGTAGCCAGACTGACCATGGAAAACTTCGTGGACTACCTCAGCCTACTGCCTACCATTGGAAGGATGGAAGCTCACGGCCAGGCTTCCTTTGGAACGTTTGCCTTATGCTCTAGCTGTGAGGCCAACCACCATCCCTCCGTTTGGCAAACTTCTCCTTGTATAAGGAATGGAAAAGCTGCCTCCAAGAACCGTACCTAGGCCAAGCAACTGAAGATGGGAGCAGTTTGACACCACAGTGCACCTTTTTCTCTACAAACTCTTTGGATATGTAGAAAGAAGCCAAGTCCTTGCTTGAGGTTGCTTTGAGTGCAAATTCCTGGACTGCGTGTCTTAATGCTGCTCTTTCTCTCGCAAATGCTCCTGTAAGAGAAGCAAGACATCCTCTGACCTTTCGAATTTCCCATGCAATGGAACCAGGGCCTTTACACTTAAAGCCAGATTGACCCATGTGTTGGAACTGGAGAAAATGGTCAAGGACTGGTTTGAGCATGGCTTTGCATGGCTTCATTTGTAAAGCCAGACCAAAGGGCTCAGAAATGTTTGATTAGCTGCCTTAAGGGAAAAACATTCAGACTTTCCCCTCAGTATTATAGGAATCGGGGCCTTCTTTCTTGCTTTATCCCTCAGGCTGGTCGCTCCCAACAGCAATGGCACAATACTAGATTTTCTCTTGCACTTTTTTAAAAAAATCTTTGTCCTGATTGGGAAATGAACATATTGGGGCCCATCCCTTTACTTACATGGGAATCTGCACTTTGGAATGAAGCCCTGCTGCTCTCACCCTTGTGTATGATGTTTCATGTTTTATATAAAGATGCCTTTTGGAAGGGAAACGGATACTCTGTCAGGTTCCTTTGTGATTATACTTTTGTTTATTGATGTAAGAGTCCCACCTAGCAGCTCCAAAACACAAGGACATATTTCCGTATATACTCGAATATAAGCCGAGTTTTTCAGCCTTTTTTTTCAGGCTTATATTTGGGTTAGGGAACGACGGAGGAGGAGGGAAAGGCAAGCTTTCCTTGGCGGCCTCGGCGGCGGCAGAGAACAAAGCCCCTGCGGCAGGCTTTTCCGCAGGCTTGCTCTCCTTCTTCCTGGTCCCATGCACGGCCACGGTGGTGATGGCGGGGGCAGCGGCGGGAGGAAGCAAAAAAGCCACGAATGGGGCGATGGGGGAGGGGAAAGTGCTGGGAAGCCTGATCTGGCTACAGTGGTCCACGCTCGTTACATCCCGAATAGATTACTGCAACGCACTCTA